GTACACCAGCCCTTTCACTCCAGAACCCAGTTTGGCCTCCGGCTAGGAAAATCAGCACGTTCAAGGTCTGCCCTCGAATGTGGGTAAAGATCCTGGGAGAGACATGGTGGTAAAGAGCCCTTGCTGGGCAGGAGCAGTAACACAGACCACAAGCAACAGCCTGCGGGTGTTGCCAGGGAAGTAACTTGGAGCAGCGTTTGCCTTGACTGGGTGCGGGCATTTCTGATATTTAACCCTGTCTAAACCAAGCAGCCAGTCCCAGAGCCCCCAGAACATAAAGGACACAGGAAACCTAGGGAGCCTGGATCAGCACTTACGACCCAGGATGATGAAACCCTTCCAGGGCCCTGAGCACGCTGTGCCATGAGGCAGTGTCGGCTCCGTGGCAGTGTTGGCTCCACTGGGCATACACCAAACACTGAAGCAACAATGCCAGCTCTGAGTCAGATCTTTCTGTGTGTCCTAGGCCGAGACATGCAAGAGGCAGAGGGGCTTCTCCATCTAAGCCGGGAACAGCAGAGCCAGGTCCAGAGCTACATGGACCTGGCCCAAGTTGGGGAGGTAAGGATGCTCTGCCCAGCCCTGGCAAAGCTCAGGGTGTGGGGCTGTGTGTCAATAGTGGCTGTGTCCAGGGTTGTGGAGAAAGGCCTGCTGCTTCTGTGCAGCTCACAAGGTTCCTCCTACTGCCCTGGTGAGGGGCTGACCTGGACATAGAGCCTGGCTCTGGGATATGCAAACACTTTCTGTCCCCTTGGTTTCAGGTGTTTCAAAAGATCATATCAGAGGGGCAAAGGAGGTCTTTTGTGCAGAGGGCACTTGCGGGGGTGCTGGACATCAACATGTGTGTCAGCCGTGCTGCGCTGATCCTCCTCTACGCCATGCTGGGGGAAGCCGGCCACCTGATCGGGGACAAGGTAAGCAGAGGGTCAGGCTCAGGGAGTGGGTGGAGGGGCACAGGGCCCCCCACCTCTAGGCCCCTTCATCCCATTGACACTTGGTGACCTGGGGAAACTAGTATGAAAGGAAATGGGAACCCTGGCAAGTGCTTCTGAGCAAGGAGTTTGTTCAGCTGTATGCTCAGGATGGCACCAGCCTGTCCCCTGCACAAATACGGCCCCTTCAGCTGCGTATCTCCAGCCAGGACCTAGGACAGCATTTACAACTCCATCAGGAGAAGCTGCCACTGCCTAGGTTAAGGGTAGGGCCCCTTCAGGGCCCCAGGTCACCGCAACTGGACCAGGGCAATGGAGTCATACAAGAGTAAGCCCCTCAGCCACCCTTCTAGGTTGACCCCTGCTCCAAGAAGGATCGTCCCTGTCTCAAGCAGCCTAAAAGAGTCTGTCTTAGAAGATGTGCTTGATCCATCTCTTAGAGATGGGGAGGGGCTGGGTAAACTCTGCTGTTTCCTGGTGCTGTGACACTCCTGTGGCTGCCACCTCCCAGAGGGAAAAGAGTCTCTCACTGGCTGTTCAAATAGCTGCCCAGAGAGCTGCAAGGCCACAGCCTGCTGGCAAGCTCCTCCAGGACCCCCCGCCCTCTGCAGCAGCCCAAGGTCCCTTCCACAGGTACCATCCCCTCTCGTCTGCCCCTGCGGATCAGGGACCTGTGGAAAGAAAGACAGAACCTCACGGCACCAACACAAACCTTCTCCCTTTGGTGTGTGGGGAGTTGTCCCCTCTGTCCGCAAAGACACCCGGCCTGGCATCACCTCTCCACTGGGCCCCATTCCCTTCTCCTCCTGCCATTGCCAGGGCCCATTTCCTCCCCACCTGCCCTACACACCAGGCAGTGTGTGTTCATCTCCCCATGGATGAACGGGGCTAGAAAACAGATCTGCCTCATCCTAATGATGTGTGTTCATCTTCCCATGGATAAATGGGGCTAGAAAGCAGGTCTCCCTCATCCTAATGACTGCTGAAACATCACCATTAAGTCTTCTGTTTAAAAGACTTAAATTCACCAACGTGCATATCTGATCACCCTTTGCTTTTTGTCATCCCTTATGGTGACAGCTTCAAACAACAGCTAGCCTGACAGCACCTCCCTGACCAAATGCACCATCCAGAGCCTCACAGGCAGCACCCTTTATGGTGACAACTTCAACCAACAGCAAGGCTGACAGCACCTCCCTGAGCAAATGCACCATCCAGAGCCTCACAGGCAGCAAGACGGCCCCAGAGGGAACCTCCAGCCTGGAATCAGCCACTACGCTAGGGTCATCGACTGATGTGAACACCCCTTGAATCAGTCAGAGCTAGCCTTCCCCCAGAGAGACGTCTGCCCGGAGTTGAGAAGTTACCAGTGGGTGGAGACTTTGGCTTATTCTTCCACCCACTTTGCCCATCAAGGTGTTGGGGGCATGGAACTGGTGTCATGAATTTCTGGCCCCTCAGTTGCGGGATCCAGGTAGCTCTTGCAGTGTGTGTGGCATTTTGCAATCCCAGGCCTAGGGCTTTTGCCAGTCACCAGTTAGGGCCAGGAAGGAATTTTTCCCCCTGCTCCCTTTCAAGAGCATACTGTCTGTGGGGGGGTTTTCGCCTTCCTGTGAGGTATTGGGGCACAATGAGATCACAGCGGTGTCAGTTGTCCAAACAGCAGGACTTACTACACCTGGCCAAAACACGAATATTCCTTGGGCACAGGAGAGAGAAAGAAGCAGCAAATGCGGTGTCCTATCCATCATGTTAAATTGTTGTAGCATAATAAAGTAAATATTGTTTTCCTTTTCTGATAACTGTTGATTGCCCTTCTTCTTACTGGACATAACGACTGACCTACTGCCAACAAAGGAACTTCGTGATGCCGCCGATCTTCCTGTTTCTTTTTATAGGCAGTCCTAGCGGCCTTTAGGTTGGCTTGGACTTGGTGAATGGTCTTGAGGAGCTCCAGCACCACAATAACCGGTCAGGAGAAAGGGGCTGTGTGTTAGAAACAGATGAAGCCCATCAGTTACTAAAGAAAAGACAACTGGCTCCCATCGAGGCATGTTCCACATTGCTGCATGCCTGTTCAGGCAGGACTAATAGTCCTGATAACTCTGAAAGCATCTTAGCTACTGCTTTAGGACCTGGTTTACTCATTCTGATTGCTGTCTGCTTGGGGGTTGGAGGGCAGTGTGCTGTTGAAAGGTGGAGGCAATCATCTAATAAGCGGTCAACCTTAGCTAAGCATGGGGTGTGCACTGCGACCCATTATAAGAGCTAATATCATATCGAAACCATGTCATTAAAAGACATTCAGAGCAGAAGGGAGTCTGTAGCCTCTGCAGGTGAGAGCTGGGCTCAGGGTGGGAAGAGGGCAATCTTTGTGAATCGGTCTCTGTCACAGGGCACTAGGGTGTACCTGTCCCATTAAGAGGAAAAGCTGCCTGGGAAGCAGCTTCCAGGTGAGGGGCGGGGGAGGGGCTTTCTGGCGGTGTTTCTGCGCTGGCCGCCTGGCACAGAACTAACCGTCAGGAGTCCAGGACTCTCCAGTCGTGCCAAGCCTGCCCCGTGAGCCTGCATGGGGCCCCACCACCATGCAGGACCAGACCTCAGTGCTGCGCATGCCAGACCAAGCCCACTGCCCAGCCCTGGCCCAAGCCAGAATCAGGTCCCCACATAAAATGTCCATGCACCAACTGCAGAGAAGCACCTGGGCATTTCCATAATCTGAATATTTTGTTGCCAAAAATGCCACTAGCACACCGGTTTGTATTAACAGGAGTGTCCCTTGCAAATCAAAGGAAGTCATTTTTATGCCCTTTTTGGCACTAGTGAGGCCTCACATGGACTAGTCTCCAGCTTTGGACCCCTGCAACAGGGGCCCTTACCTCTGTTACTGGGTGCAGGGTGAAAGCGGCAGGGAGGCAAACTGCAGAGTTGTAAGCCTGCTAGTAGGGTGCAGACTGCGGGGGCATTAAGCCTGCTCATTAGAAAGGAGCTGTTCCTGTGCCCAGTCCAGGAAGGGGGCCTGGCTACTGGAAGGTGCGGGGCTAAACAGGGAATTGAAACGGAGCTTCTAAGCTGAAGAGTCAGAGTTGAAACGGAGCTTCTCAGCTGAGGAGTCAGATCTGAGCCAGGCTGGGCTCAAGGATGGAACTGTGCAGGGACTGCAAGACAATGCATTTGGTTTCATAGACATTAGGGCTGGAAGGGACTTCGGAAGATCATCAAGTCCAGCCCCCTGCCCAAAGGGCAGGAAGTCAGCTGGGGTCATAGGATCCCAGCAAGATAAGCATCCAGTTTGCTCTTGAAGGTGTTCAATGTAGGTGCTTGAACCACCTCCAGTGGCAGGCTGTTCCAGACCTTGGGGGCTCAGACAGTAAAGAAATTCTTCCTTATGTCCA